GAACATGGATAAGATGTTCTCTCACTCTTCCACTTTTGTTTCATTAATACTGTTTGTTGGTTAGATTTTCCCCTAAAATGACAATTTAGGGCTGTACCTCATGAATTTTTTTTCTCACAGAAAAATTATGAGATTTTTAAAATTTTGTTCTTATTTTGAAACCCTTGTTTTGTGAGAGTTAGATGTGTAGTTAGTTTGTTGGCTGCTTCCTATTATTAGACTTATTGCTATAAATATAAGAAATTCTGGCAAGTTTGAACAGATTTTTTTTAAAAAAAGTATGGATTTTACTTTTTTCTTAAAAAGTCTTTATAGAGTTGATTATGGCGATGAGCTAAAAGTCTATAGAAAACCTGTTTTGGAGGACATGGTTCTCCATCCCATATGGATCTGCTAGTGAAAGGGTATAGTATTGTCCTAAACAGAATTTTCCTTTCTAGCTTTCCTTACTATAGCAGCAAAGCCTTATCCCAGAATGCTTTGCTGTTGAGCTTCTACTGCCCTGACTTGGATAGTATGAGCATTTCTGCATTGATAATAGAGAAATTCACATCAATATCTAGGTTAATGTTTAGCAGAGGCCAGTTTGGTGTTCATTCTGAATTACTTGAAGTCAGCTCTCTCTGACAACAGTTTTTCATATTTCTTTAAAAATTTAATTATAACTCATCAGATCTTAAGCAATTACTTCTGAGACCTTTGATGTGAAGGCAAATGAACAATTTAATAAATTCAGAATAACATCTGTTTCTAATATTTTAAAAGTCAGTTTACATGGAAATTCATTTAATTCGGAGTCAATACATGGAGACTTGTAAAAATGAAAATCAAAATGGAAAAAATCAAACCACTGTGTTATAGTAGGTCTTCTGTGAACAAAGGCTTTCACTTACAGCTAGGTTCAGCTGCCGATAGCTAACACCCAAAATATCACAGTTTAAACAATATAGCAATTTATTTCTCACTCTCATGTAATAGGGAGGGAGGTAGCCCAGGGTTGGTGTTCTACCGTGACAGGAACTCAATTTCCTTCAGTCTTATTACTGTGCTGGGCATGATTTCTATTTCTAAGGACACTTAATGGGCCAAGATGGCTGCTAGACCCCCAGCTATTGCATCTGTGTTCCAGCAGGAAGGAGGTAGTGGTGGAGGGAAAGAATGTGAAGCTTCCCCCCCCCCCCCCCCCTTTTAAGGACATGTTTTGGAAGTATTACATAAAACTCTGCTTATGCTCCACTAGCCAAAAATTAGTCACATGACCATCTTTAGCAGCAATGGAAAGTAGGGAATGAAATCTTTTTTCTAAAGACCATATACCATTAAAAACAGAAGGTCTAAGGGTATGGGAAAAGGCTGGAAATAGACATGGAAAAACAACTATCCCTACCACATTGAGTATTTCTTTTTTTTTTTTTTTTTTTAATCAATCTTTATTGTTCATATTATTACAAAGGTTCCTCATTTCTTCCCCTCTCCACCAGGTTCCCACCCCACCCTCCGCCCCCTCCCCATCCTCCATTGTCCTCATCCATAGGTGCACAGTTTATGTTCAGTCTCTTCCTCCCTCCCTTTCCCCGATAGTAAATCCCTTTTCAGATAGTAAATCAGTTACTTAGCATTTTCTCATATCAATAATACCTCCACATGCCCAATGATACACTTCACACAAAAGACATTTCCAAATAGGTCAACCAGCCTCATCCAGGCCCCACCCAAGGCACTCACAGATCAACACCCCAGCCCTATACTAACTCAACACATCCAGATCTAAGCCTTCATCACTTGATTCAGCAGACCCTCAAGTTCCCACAAAAGTTTCCAGCCATGTCTGAGAGGCAGCCGTGGGGCAGGGGTAGGCGAGGAGCGAGCTGTTCCGGGCCTGGCTGCTCCAGGCCTGGCCTCTGTTGCTCTGGTTCATTCCACAACCAGCTGCTCCAGGTCTGGTCACTGCTGCTCCTGACCTAGTTCACTGAGTATTTCTTAAGACATGATTTTAACAGACCTTCTGACTTTTTATTGAGCATCTAGAAAAGTCAACTAGTAGATATAAAAAGAGTAGTATGGTGTTTCACAGAAAGTAGATAAGTTATCATCTACTTATCAGTCTGTTATATTTTTTATAATTTTTAAAAATATTTTTTTTATTGATTTCAGAGGATGGGAGAGGGAGAAAGAGAGATAGAAATAAAAATGATGAGAGAGAATCATTGATCAGTTGCCTCCTGCATGCTCCCTGCTGGGGATTGAGCCTACAACCTGGGCATGTGCCTTTGACTGGAATCGAACCTGGGACCTCTCAGTCCCTAGGTTGATGCTCTATCCTAGGGGTGTCGAACTCAATCAGAGAAGGAGCCAAAATCTAAAATCCAGCCTAAATCGCGGGCCGAATGGTTTACTCAACAGTCATAAACTGTCATTGTGATGGAAACGCAGTGGAGTGCAGTGATGACAGCGTGGTGCGGGCCACATTGCAAGGCCTGGCGGGACGGATTTGGCCCGCGGGCCTTGTGTTTGACACATGTGCTCTATCCTCTGAACCAAACCAGCTAAGACAGTCTGTTGTAATTTTAACCCCCATATGTCCCCAAGTTCAGAAGTTGTTGGTCAAGCAGACTATAATAAGGGGCTTTTTCTATAAATTTTACCCCAGTCCTGTAGAGCAGTGTTTCCCAACTTTCTCTCATAATGAGAATCACCTGGTGGAGTTGTTAAAACACAGATTCCCGGATCCCAACTAAGAAGTGCTAAACTAGAATTTTTGGGAACATATAGGTAAAATTGTATACTTAACTAGTGCTCTAAGACAGATTTTATATACAGAGCACTAAGTTAGGTATGCAATTTTACCTATATGTTCTCAAAAATTCTAGTTTAGCACTTCTTAGTTGGGATCCGGGAATCTGTGTTTTAACAACTCCACCAGGTGATTCTCATCATGAGAGAAGGTTGGGAAACAGTGCTGTAGAGTAACTGAGGCCATTCGCAGGACTGAGCTGTCATTTGTTCTAAGTCTCCAGAACATTGGTGTATCTGCAAAGCAATGTTCTCTGCTTCTCTACATAGAAGGCAAATGAACAATTACAAGTGTTTGTTAAATGATTTCAAGGTAAAACTATTATCATTACAGAAATTGAAGCTTGGCGAGGTTAATTGGGAAGTCGTTTGGAGAAGCTTTTGAAAACCAGCATTGACCCGCCATTGATCTCAAATGGAATACTAACTACTATTTCCATTACAAGCCTAGGATGAGTTTTTAATCTGTTCCATACTCTTGTTTTCGAAGTCACTCAGTAAATTACAGAGCTGGGACTCTGGGGCATTTCTCCTTAATCCAAGGCTTTTGCAACATGATTTTTGGTAAAATTCATACGGAAATTCCATTAATCATGGCTGCCTCACAATGAAAGGCAGAACTGGTGGAGTGGCTAGAGGTAAAGGTCTTCAGAGTGGCCGCCCACCATCTATTCTTTAGCTACACATGTGCTCACATCCCCTTAAAAAGCCCTGACATCAGAGTAGGCAAGAGTTTTCTACTTGAGTGTCTCATTCCTGCTTCCTTCTGGCTCATGTGCCTCTTGTGTTCTGTAAGTACTGGGATAGCTGCACTGGAGGTACAGAAGACTCCAGATGCCACCCTATTCACTGGCAGGTGTAATGCCATAGAGCAGGAATCCTTCAAATGGAGTCATTTATGTGCTGCCTTCCACAGTTGTACCTTATCCACGTACACCAGAACTATTGATTCCTTCATATCTGTGTTTACATGGACTCTTTATTTAACAGCTTAATTTTTATTAGATAGCTATGAAATTCAGCTTTGATGTGATAATTAAAATTTATTTCAAATATATGTTAAAACCAATACAGCCATTAAGAGTCTCACATGGTTTGTATATTTTCTCTCATACTCCTTGTGGTTTGTGGATCATATTTTGAGAAGCCCATCATACTGGAAAGAGCATGGGCCATGAAACTTGACCTTATTATTTCTGATTTGTGTGAATTTAGATATTTATTCATTTAACTTTCTCAATCACAATTTGTTCATTTGAGAGATGCACATAATAATATTTATCTCATCAGTTATTCCAAGAATTAACCAAGAAAATACAGCCAAGACCAGCAGAATGCTTGGCAGATAGGAAGTGCTCAGCAAATAATACTAGCTTATTCTTCCTTGTTGTTACTAATCCTCAAAAAGCAAGATACAAGGAAGTGCATTATTGTGGCATCTGGTGTAGATGATACTAAGACTTGTGACAGCTCAGAAGGGGGAAAGGCTGAAGTTTACTGGAGTGTAGGAAGAAAGGCAATATTTTGATCGATGGAAAGCCATTCTTACTCATCTCTCCAGCTGTATAGGTCCTTGCTACTCAAAGTGGAGGCCACAGACCAGCAGAGTCAGTTTTACTTGAGGATTTGTTAGAAATGTGGAACCTGCCTGTTAACAAGATTTCCACATGATGTGTATGTTTGAGAAGCATTGCTCCAGGCACAGATATTCTATTTAAAATTTATCTCCCTTGGGGGCTAGTTCTTGCTCTTAGTGTATTTCCTGCACCAGGATCAGCTAGGGCTATGCTTTTAAATAATGAATATTCTCAGGCTTCATATCAACCCGGGGCCTAGACTCTGCATTTTTAGTGAGCATGCCAAGTGATGTTTTAGGACACTTGTTCAGCAACCTCTGCATTAAGGCTTAAATCAATGATAGAACCTCTACTTTTATCCTTCAAACACACTTGCATTCAAACAAGGAAGAAAGCTTTTGAGGCAAAGAAATACAATCCTAATCATGGTGCTAGCAAGAAATAAGGGGAGGATCTCAATTTAATCTATATGGAAAGCTCATTTGCATTAATTATGCATTCCTGGCATCCCAGCCTAAAGTCTCATGACAACAAGTCTAGGGAGGAAGATAATATCTTACCAATATCACCTAATATTTTTTTTCCTGTATTTTTCATTTGATTTTTTTTTAAACATTTTGTTTTTTTTAGCCGTGCTATCAAGACTAACCAGGACCTTCTCCCAGAAACGCCATGGACGCACATTTTCTACAATGATTTCTGGGGGACTCTTCTAACCCACAGTGGCAGCCACAAGTCCTACCGGCCACTCTGCACGCTTTCTTTTCGCCTGAACCATGCCATCGGAGGCCTGAATCCCTGGAGCTACCATCTTGTCAATATCCTACTTCATGCGGCAGTCACTGGTCTCTTCACGAGCTTTTCCAAGATACTCCTGGGGGACGGATACTGGACCTTCATGGCGGGCTTGATGTTCGCCTCTCACCCCATCCACACGGAGGCCGTGGCAGGAATCGTGGGCCGGGCCGATGTCGGGGCCAGTCTCTTCTTCCTCCTCTCCTTGCTCTGCTACATTAAACACTGCTCCACCAGAGGCTACTCCGCCAGGACGTGGGGCTGGTTCCTGGGGACGGGACTGTGTGCGGGATGCAGCATGCTGTGGAAGGAACAAGGAGTGACTGTTCTCGCAGTCTCAGCAGTTTACGATGTCTTCGTCTTTCACAGGCTGAAAATGAAACAGATCCTGCCTACCATTTACAAAGTAAGTGATTGTTGGTGCTCAAGCATTGGGTTTCTGAGTAATCTCCTTTGCTTGGTCCTATTTTACCATTTAAAAGGCAAATGTGTTCCTTTTCAAAGAGAATTTAACATAAGCAACTTTTTGATCTTCAGTAAGTGGAAGTGTCCTTTCTGACCTTTCCCTACTAACCTGGGTTTCAGTCACTGATTTCTCACTTATTTTCTTTACTTATTTTCATGACTTCAAAGGAGGTGTAGAAGGACAGTTTTGCCTTGTAAAGATTATGCATCTTTAGAATGAATTTATTTTCATTCATCTCTTAATTCTGCTCCAACTCTCTAATCCTATACACTGCCTCCTCTACATAATGTGTATTTGTAAGTATATCACATCCGGTAATAGAGCTAGATACTAGACTATACAGGGGAAATCCTTCGCCTTGTTAATATTAGTTTCCTGAGTTGATGATGGAAAAGAACCCTTCTCTACAGTGTGCTACGAACTCAAATTCTTAAACAATGAATCATATTCACCTTTTCCTTTTTGTAGTGTAGGAGAATAGAAGAGTCAAAACATGAAATGGTTATTATAAGATTTGCCCTGAGGCTAATTAAGGCCTTTGCTTCCAGGCTTAATATTTGTTTCAAATGCAGTGTTGGAAGGTCAAAGGAGCACTTGGGGATCCCATACTCTTAAAGTGATCTGAACAGTCTTCTACTAGAGTGTTATAGGCATTGGGTAAACTGGAAATTCTTGAGAAAGTGCCTTCTACCTATTGCCCCATCCTCACTCACTCACAATCAACTTCCTTTCTTTGACTTTAAGTATACAGACTCCAAGGGGCCAGGGTTTGCAAACCTCGGCCATGGTGTAGGCCAGCTCCTGCTTTTTCTTAGACATTTAAGCAAGGAATTACAGATTTGAATATTTGCCCCGAGAAAGCTGTCAAGTTTTCTAGTATTGTCTAACTTTTCCCTCCTCAATTCCCTCTTTTGCTTGAAATTGAATTGGGGAGAAATTAAATTTTAAAATGAAAGGAAATAGAAACAGAAACATTTACAGTGGAACCTTGGTTCTCAAACGAAATTTGTTCCAGACGCTGCTCGAAAACCGAATTATTTTTTTCCCATTAGAAATTATGTGAATTGAATTAATCCATTCCAGACCCCCAAATGATTCCCTGTTTTAACCTTTCTTATATCCTGTACATGTCTAATGTACTTTTAAATCTATAAATAAACACTTTAATGACAAAAGGACATGAAATGTACAGTAAAGTGAAAATTGAGAAATGATAAGCAGCAACAAAAGCAAAGAACAGGAGAATATTCACAGCACTATTTCCTGAGGTGCTAACAACATGATGTTTAGCAGTAAACTGACTGATACACACATATTCACTCCTTTGTCACCTTAAAGGTTTGAGATTGATCATACAGGTATCAGTATGAAAGGGTTGTCTAGTTGAGAAGTGAATGGTTCAAAATGGGAGATGTCAGAAAACCAAGGTTTGACTGTACTTGAAAAAAAAATGGCTTTTTTTTTTTTTTTTTTAGTAGGCAGGCAATTAACTGCTATGCTTCTCTGCAGGAAGCTTAACCTTTCCAGTTAGAACTCAAGTATCAAGGGCTTAATGAAGTTCTTTTGTGATTTCAATTAAATGCTAAAACCTTAAAAGGAAAGCAAACAACATCTGGTTTGAGAGTCAAGCTCTTAATTTCAAATCAGTTTTAATTATTTTTTTATGGAGAATAGGGAGAGTAATCTTTTTCTTTTCCTTTGAAACCGGGTCATTAACAATAGCCAGCTTTCTTGTTTTATTTGATACATAAATAAATAGAATGAGTGTAAACCATGGTTCTTATCCCATGGAGGCTGGGTCTGTTAAGGAAAAGGCTCAGCGGAGTCACCTCAGCTAAGCCTATCTTTAAAGTTGCGATCCAAGACTTAATTGCAGTTTTAGCCTCTCTCAAAAATGTGATCTTCAGTCAATCTGGAATGACCTGGATAGCACTGTAGAGGTAATCTGCCTTTTAGGCTGTTTCTGTCCCCCAGAGTAGGATGAGGTAATCAATCCCACTCTTTCCTTATCTTTTCTGCCTTTTGCCTATAGAAGCCTTCCATTTTGTTCAGGTCTTTGGAGCTCCTTTCTGTTACCTTGGTGGGGTGTTGCCTGATTCATGAATCATTCAACGAAGCCAGTTTGATCTTCAGATTTACTCAGAATTTTGTTTCCCAACAAGACCTATTTGAAGATGCAGCCTCTGGGTGTTTCAAAACCTTGCCTTGAAATCTATGAAACCCTGTGGTTTCTTACAAAGAATTTCCATTTACCATTGTTACCAGACCAAAGGGGTCCATTTGCCTATGAGCATCAAAGCTCCATAAAATCAAACCATAGTTTGCAGCAGGTTAATTAAGGGTTTATTTTAGGAAGTGGCCCAGCCCCAGAGATAGAAGTGAGCAAATGCTCAAAGACCTGGCTTCCCAAAGACTTCTAGTGGTTGGAGTCTAGAGAGGAAAAAAATAATTAATTATGATGACCAAGAGAGTTAGGGTCATGGTCTCTGTTGATTTGTTGATGCTAGGTTGTTGATCAGTGCATTTGGCCATGATGTCAGCCATGATGTCACTACTTCTGGTTTGTCTGCTTTTCTGGGCCTGGAGCTCAACATAACTGAAGCCTAGATAGTAATCTCTCAATCTCGAATTCTTTGTCATTTAAATCACATATTTCCTTGTCTTTCAGTTTATTTTCTGGAGATTTTTATTTTCTTTCTTAGCTGCCTCCTACCTTGGTTATTCCTGGTATTTGATGGATTCCTTCCTTTGTCTAGGCATCTATGTATGAGTGGCATTTCTCTAGTAGATTGATACAAAGAAGTCCTATTGTCTTCCATTAGGTGGCGCTGAATCAAGATTTTTTTTTTTTTTTTTTTTAGCTCTTGTTCTTTGACTTTTCGGATCCCTGTGGTGATGAAAAATGGGAGGTGGGTGCCTCCCCTGTAATCTGGTCACCCCAGTCCTAGGAAACCACCCCTGCCATTGAGCAAACATGGTGGCCTATGGGGCTTCAAATTTGTGAAATCTCAGTGCTGTCCTCCACAGCCAGACACTGCAGTAGTATGTGTGAGGGAAGGGTAGACTGGGGTAACCTGTCTACTATCTAAGTTGCTTTGCCCTCTGGTAATTGTGACCTCGGACCTCTGTAAAATTCTCTTCATGCCCTGATCCTGAGACCATTCACAGAGTGGGCCTTTCACTCTGGGGAAGTGATTCTGTAGTACTAGTTCTCAGATTTGCAGATAATGTGCTCTGCAACCAAGGGTGAAGGAAGCAAGCTTTAGGAGGTTAAGGGACAGCCAGGCTCCTCGACTTTGGTTTCTCTGTCTGGAATGCCAGCCACCAGACAACTGGTACAGCTGTAGCTCCTAATGCCAACTCCTGAAGGAATATCCCCTGAGGCTCTTTGCTCCTCCTGACTTACAGGAGTGCCAAAACCTGATTCTTCCCCTCTTCTGGCTGAGCCCTGCCTTGAGCTCCTGGCTACAGGTGGCTCAACTCAACACTTTTCCCTCCTCACTTCCCTGGTTCATTCCCACTTGCCTACCTTTAGATTTCCTAGTGCTCAGTTCTCTCGGGTGTGTTTGTGCATTGAGCAGAGAAGACTTTGTTGAATTATAGCCATTCAAATTGTTGAAACATCAAGGGGGGAGACAGAGGGGATCTCTCACACTGCCATTCCTCTGATGTCACTGTCTAGTTGTCTTTAAATGTATAGTAGTTTGAAAGCAAGTAAATTAGAGATCTAGGGAAGCCAAATCATGCACATCTAAGCACAAACCTTCATTTAGAATCTCATGACTGTGGGGCTTATAATAAATGCTGGTATAGATTACATATGGAAGTTATAGAAAATTCCATATTCTTTTAAAAATATATATGTAGATTTTAAATGCCTGGGTGAGTAGGAAGAGACTGAAGGAAGTGGATTAAAACTTTAGAACACATGTGTCAAACACAAGGCCCGCGGGCCAAATCCGTCCCGCCAGGCCTTGCAATGTGGCCCGCACCGCGCTGTCATCACTGCACTCCGCTGCGTTTCCATCACAATGACAGTTTATGACTGTTCAGTAAACCATTCGGCCCGCGATTTAGGCTGGATTTTAGATTTTGGCCCCTTCTCTGATTGAGTTCGACACCCCTACTTTAGAAGGTTCTTTTAAACCTTAAAAGAATAATTATCCTAAATATCTTACCAATTAATTCTGCAACATAGTTATATCATGGGTTTGTCAGATGAAATAAACTTTTCTGCCTCATAAAAATGTGACAGATATATAAACAGAAAACTCTAGTGTACAAATGTTTAACTCTATTATGCAAATTAGCGAACCAGTCAAAACTCTAGATTAGGGGTGTCGAACTCAATCAGAGAAGGGGCCAAAATCTAAAATCCAGCCTAAATCGCTGGCCAAATGGTTTACTGAACAGTCATAAACTGTCATTGTGATGGAAACGCAGCAGAGTGCAGTGATGACAGCGCGGTGTGGGCCACATTGCAAGGCCTGGCGGGACGGATTTGGCCCGCGGGCCTTGTGTTTGACACATGTGCTCTAGATCTAAAAATGGAGGTCCTCTGAAAGCTTGAGTTCATTAGAACTAGAGAAGCAAGATTCCCAGTTTTTCAGTTTTGTCAGTATATTTCTCATAGCAATCACTCTCAGATTCTTTCTTCACAGTGGTTTCAGTTCTGTACCTCTTATCAGATCCTGGTCCCCAAACTCAAATGTGTAGCAGGGCCAGGCAGAAGGTGCTGCTCTGCAACTGGTACTCCACTCCATCCCATTACTGCAGTAAAAATAAACAAATAAGTAAATAAAGGTTTTGGTTTGGTAGACTTTAAGATTTTTCTGAGACGATAGACATCTGGATTTTTTTTTTTTCTATGACATCTTCTGGGTTTGTTTTTTTTTTTTTTTTTTTTTAATGTTGCTTATTATTGGGGCAGACAACAATCC